CGGCCGGGCTTGGAGGCGCCCAGGTAGGGCCGAGCCGGGCGGGGCGGGGAGGTCTCGGTCTGCTGCGGGCGCAGGAGGGCAGCGGGAGAGGGGGAGCCGCCGGGTCTCCTGGAAGGAAGCGAGGCGGCGGCTGAGGGGGATGCAGCCCCGTCCCCAGCAACAGGCGCTCCTCGAAGTGAGGCCACAAGTCGGGGCTCGGACAGGGCCTGGAAGCATCGGCTCCGGCTCTTGGGAGCGGAGAAGGGGACTTCGAAAGCGGCCTGGAGGAGAAAAGCCCCGATGCAGCGAGAGCGGGGAGCGTGCTGTCTTGTCCAGGCCTCCTCGCTTTGTGCCGTCCGCTGCCGGGAGCAGGACACGGGGGCTCCTCGTTCGCATGCTTTCCCGGGTGATCGGTGAGGGTTAGGGTTAGGGTTAGGGTCCCTCAGTCCCTCGCTTTGCTGCCTCCCCCCCCACCCCCAAAGCTTGGAGGTTCCCTGGCAAGGGGGAGGGGAAAAAATTGAAAGTTACACTTTCGTGCGTCCCTCCCGGCGTGACGCTGCGCGCTGACGTCACGGGGCTGTAATGGTGGTGTGCCTCGAGATTTTTTTCATCAAACAAATGTGCCTTTGCCCAAAAAAGGTTGGGAAACATGGCATTATCCGTGTCTGTTTTCTCCTTCTGTTTGATCTCTGCATGCACAGCAAGCACTGAATTTGGCCTGATCCCATCTTTAGCATTCTTCTATGAAACTAGATCAGATTTATTAGAAAAGAGGTACATGTTCCATTGGACTGGAAGGAAGGAAGGAAGGTGTTTGCAACTGAAAAAAGAAAATGAAATGTGACACAGGTTGATGGTTGGGTGCAGGCTAAGACTGGCCTGCCTTTGTCGAAACCCCTTTAAGGAAGGGGGAAGGAGGCGTGTCTTGTGTTGTGAGTCCATGGATGACATGGACCTTAAGTCTGACCCAGCAAATTCCTTTGTTCTTAAGAGCAAAGGACCATAGCTCAGTTGCACAGCTCATTAGTAAAGCACATGATTTGCATGCAAATGATCCCAGCTTCAATTCCTGGCAGCATCTCCAGGTAAAGGGGGATCTAAGACTCCCCCCTCCCCCTCCCCCTCCCCTAGTGCAGGGGTAGAGAACATTTTTCAGCCTGAGGTCTACAGTCTCTTCTGGAGCCGCATGCCAGTGTGCTAAATCTTGAGGTGGAGGGGGGGGGCTGGATATCATTGTAATGGAGAAGGAGGAAGCTAGCATGGCGGCCTATGTCTGCTAACCAATAGCATGAAAAATAGGCTTTCTCTGAAACATGCAGCAGTATCTGCAATCTAGAAGATGGACAAAAATAACATTTCTTCACAAACTAAAAATTTCATTTCTTTTTTGAAACATGCAGCCTAAAGCTCTCAAGCTACTAGGGATGGAGGTAAGTCTTTTTTGTTTTTTTGTCACACAAGTTTCTTCTCTAATTAGGGGCAGGGGGAGTAAATTTATCACATGGCATGTTTGGGCAAGACCCAAACCAATGGATTCAAATGACAAGAAAGGAGATACTGACTAAACATCAGAAAGAACTTTCGGATGGTAAGAGCTGCTTGAGAGTTTTAAAGCAGAGGTTAGGCGGCCCCCTGCCAGGGGTTCTTGAACTGTTATTCCTGCATTGCAGGAGGTTGGCTAGATGACCCTTGGCATCCCTTTCAACTCTCAAGTTCTTTGATTCTAAAAAACCACTACCTTCTTTTGGGATCATCTCATTTTGCTTCCAAGTTTATTGGCACGCAGCAACTTGTGTCCAAGCTGTATGCTTTTAGGTGCAGTAGAGAAAATCCATATAGACTGCTGGAATCACATATAGATGGATTACCTCATTTGGTCTGATTCTTCCAGGACAGAGCAATGGATGCATACCTGCAGTGAGTGCTCTGGTAGCAGCTGTTCCACATGTGCGCTGCACCTATTGCATTTGGAAGGGAGCAGCTGTTTGCGTGCGTCCCCCCAACTTCATCCCGTTATGATCCTCTTAAATAACACATAGGTTTTCTGGAAACCTCAGACCAACCCAGCTTCTGGGGGCTCCTTGAGCTATTAGGATAAAGGGGAGAGTGTCCCTGTGCAAAGTGTATAAGCCTTTATTCTAAATGGGCAGAAGAACTTATTGTTATATCACAGATATAAAATATATAAATACAAAGCAAAGCCAGGCGCCCTGAAAGCTGGTAAGCAGCTTTGCCGTGTTCAAAGGAGGCATCAACAAGGCTTAATCTTCTTTGACATCTCTTTGTCTTTTCTGATGAGTGCATGACAAAGCATTCATCCCTCCTGAGACAGGAGATGGCTGGGCCTAAAAAGCTTAAAATGGGCAACAGTGGCCCAAATCTAGAGATATTCCACGTGCAGCTGGCCAGGCACCACTGCAGGCACATCTGCTGTGCCTTGCTCCCAGGAGGTGGCAGCATGTTCACATGTGAGTCTTAGCATGCCACTGCCTGTTCTGAGAGGGGTGGGAGACTGAGTCCACACAGGAAGAGACAATGGGACTAAATTCTGGCTGCTTTAAATACAGTAGTCATGGTCCCCCAAAGAATTCCAGGAGTTGCAGTTTTTTAAGGTTGCACTCCCTTCGAAGGAGCAGGGTCACAGTTTGGGGGTGCCTCTGGATTCAGCTTTGTCCCTGGCGTGCCTTTCACCAACTGCAACTGGTTTGACAGCTACAGCCATTCCTGGACCAGCCACAGCAGTTCATGTGTTGGTTACTTCAAGACCAGATTATTACAATGTGCTCTATATGGGGCGCCCCTCACACTTGATCTGGAAGCTGCAGTTAGTGCAGAATGCTGCAGCGCAATTGCTGACAGGAGTGAGGCCTTGTCAATAAAGAACACCTGTGCTCAGAGATCTTCACTGGTTGCTGATTAGCTACCAGGCCAAGTTCAAGGTGTTAATATATGAAGCCCTGAACAACTTGGGACCAGTTTACCTACAGATCGCCTTACCCCACATGTGCCAAATCGACCTATCAGCAGAACTGGCACTACTACAGGGGCCACATAATACCCCTTCTGTATTGGGAAAAACTTGATCATTTAGTGTGGCAATGCCTATACTTTGGAACTCCCTGACTCTTGAGATCAAGCAGATGCCTTCACTGTACAGTCATACCTTGGTTTTCTAACAGCTTAGTTCTCGAATGTTTTAGCTCCCAAATGCCGCAAACCTGGAAGTGAGTATTCTGGTTTGTAAACTATTTTTGGAAGCCGAACGTCCAACGGGCCTTCCACGGCTTCCAATTGGTTGCAGGAGCTTTGGTTTCCCAACGTTTTGGAAGTCGAACGGACTTCCGGAATGGATTCCGTTTGACTTCCAAGGTATGAATGTACTCTTTTCGCCCCCTGATAAAAACATTATTGATTAGGAAGTTGAGGTAATTTTGTATGTTTTAAAGTATGTGATTTTTTCTTGATTTTGCTGTTTTACCTTTTGTAAGTCGTTTTGAGGTTGTTGCTTTTGTTACAATCAAAGCAGTGTATGTTGTTGTTGTTTAGTCGTTTAGTTGTGTCCGACTCTTCGTGACCCCATGGACCAGAGCACGCCAGGCACTTCTGTCTTCCACTGCCTCCCGCAGTTTGGTCAGACTCATGTTTGTAGCTTTGAAGACACTATCCAACCATCTCGTCCTCTGTCGTCCCCTTCTCCTTGTGCCCTCCATCTTTCCCAACATCAGGGTCTTTTCCAGGGAGTCTTCTCTTCTCATGAGGTGGCCAAAGTATTGGAGCCTCAGCTTCACAATGTGATTTTTTCTTGATTTTACTGTTTTACCTTTTGTAAGTCGTTTTGAGTTGTTGCTTTTGTTACAATCAAAGCAGTGTATAAATTTTATTAAATTAAATAAATAAGTGTTTCTAGGATACCCCTGTTCCCCTCAAAGAACTACAACTTACAAAGTGATTTAACAACAAATCCCTCTTCCCAGGGAACTCTGAACTGTAACTGTGAGGGAATAGGGGTGTCCTAACAACTCTCAGCACCCTGATAGGTACCGTAATTCTGGGACTTCCACTTGTTCTCCTCGTTACCCACTGAAGAACAATAACTGTGGAAAGCCTCCCTGTTCTAGGCTGTCAAGAAATGGTTAGTATTTGGTATTTCCCTCTAATTATGCTTCCCTGCCCCACCCTTAGCTGTGGCTCCACTGCCCAGACTCTCTTTCTGTTACCTCCTTCCTCGTTGCCTCCAGTTCCAGTCGTAATGCTCCATCCTCCTTCCCCATTTAGGAGATGGGATAGTTCTCCCTTTGCTGGGTCCTCCGGTGTAAGATCTCATGTTCAAAGGTGAACTTTCCATTCAGCCTTCTTCAAGACGCTCTTTGTCGCCGCCTGCTTTGCATGTGACTTGGCTTGCCCATGTGCTCATTCTAGCCTTTCTCTGCACCAAGAGTGCCTGCATGACTCAATCACACTTGAAACAGGGATACAGCAGGATCAGCCATGCCTAGCAAGGGCTGGTTGAAAGGGCCCCAAGCCAGATCAGCGATTCATCCAGAGACAGAATAGGTAACCCCCTTTAAAAGGCATAATAGTTGTGTTGCACCTCTGCACCAAAAGGCCGAGCCATGCGTGATGCTGAGATGCTATAGTTATGACCTGTGGTCCAGCAGAGGCTGGAAGGGAGCAATAATCGTGCAGAGATGCAGGGGGTCAGCCTCCTTTACAGAGGGCACTTTGAGCTCACAAAAGCCTGTAGATCAGGGGGTGCACAACCTGCAGCCCTCCAGATGTTGTGGGACTACACCTCCCATCATCCCTGATCACTGGCTATGCTGGCTGGGGCTGCTGGGGAGTGTAGTCAGAAAACATCTGGAGGGCCACAGGTTGTGCACCCCTACTGTAAATAATTATGGATTAATTTTCTCAGAGATCTCCAGCAGTTCTCTCATGGCACTACAGTGTACCTCAGCCACAGTTTGGGAAACTGCTGGGGTCATTTATAGAAACCTGATATTTAGAAGGTTAGTCCTTTTCCAGTGATTTCATTTGAACTCCAACATCATGCCAAATGATTTGAAGGTAGGATGACTGATGCATCGGTCTGAAGGACCTGCATCTGTCTATGTGCCGTCTGCCCAGGTAACATCATAAGCTGTGATACCCACAGAAAAGCACATGTTGTGAATTTGCAGTGACGCTTTGCATGGAAGCATTGTCATCGCCATAAGAAGCCACTCTTCTACTAACAATTCAGGCACAATGATTCTGCATGCTTGTATTTCCGGCTTAACCTTCAACTTAACAGCAGTGCATGGCCTTTTCCTTAAGCATCTATCTTTATTCATGGGCACAACCTGTAATAATCTGCAGGAACACCAGTAAAATGTAGCCTAAATGTGAAATTACGGTAACTCAATTGCTCCTTCCTAGGATGATGAACCTCCAACCAAAGGGAAAAAGAAGAAAAAGAAGAAGAAGGAAGAGGAGATAGACATTGATGTGGATGACCCAGAAGTCAGCCGCTTCCAGTACCCCTTCCATGAGCTCATGGTCTGGGCAGTGCTGATGAAGCGGCAGAAGATGGCTCTCTTCCTTTGGCAACGTGGAGAGGAGACCATGGCCAAGGCACTGGTGGCCTGCAAACTCTACAAAGCCATGGCCCACGAGTCTTCAGAGAGCGAGCTGGTGGATGACATCTCTCAAGACCTGGACAACAACTCAAAGTTAGTCACTCAGAGTGTGGGGCTGGACTGTGTGGTGTAGCGGTTAGGTTGTCAGACCTGGGAGACCAGGACTGAAAACCCCACTCAGCTATGAAGCTCATTTGGATGACGTTGAGCCTGTCCCTGGCTCTCAGTCTAAGCTGAGACCTTCTGAGCTAAGGCCCTTCTCCAGTTCCTGTTCTGCTTTTTTATATTTATATATTCTTAGTATATAGTTTATATTTATATTTTCTTAGTATTAAACATGAACCTGCCCCAATGTTACAATGATCTACTGATTGAGTCCTTCAGCTCTCTCAAGTTGAATCAGACAGAAGGGTCTTCTCTGTTGTGGCCCCTGGCTCTTGAATGTCCTCCCCAGGAAGTATCACCTGGTACTGAACCTGAAGTCCATTCAGAACCAGCTGAAGACTTTACTTGCCCTGGTCTTCCAGTACATCCTCAAGACTGGTTTTAATAAGCAATTTTAATAGATTTTACTGGCTTTACTGCTTTGACCTGTTGCATTGTTCCTGTGATGTTAATTTTACTACCGTGTTTAATTTGTTAGCTGCTAGCCAATCTGGCATTCTTTATCTCTCCAGAGATTTTGGCCAGCTTGCTGTTGAGCTGCTGGATCAATCATATAAGCATGATGAGCAAGTAGCCATGAAACTTTTGACATATGAGCTGAAAAACTGGAGCAACTCTACTTGCCTGAAACTTGCAGTGGCAGCAAAGCACAGGGACTTCATCGCGCACACCTGCAGCCAGATGTTACTGACAGACATGTGGATGGGGAGGTTGCGCATGAGGAAAAATCCGGGCCTTAAGGTAGGCATGGACTGCTTAGGCCTGCAGGCACCTGGGCTTGCTATATAGGAGGGAGGGGGAAACTGTACATATATGGAGGAGAATAGTACTGAGGGCAGGAATAATACCTCCTCCAGAGCCACAGTCCTGCTCCAGTTCCCCCTCCCTTCAATACATGCTGGTTTAAACAAGTAGAACCAAGAGACAGGTGATGTGATCACTGATCTCCAATCAGACATCTCCAGGAATTTCTAGTTTGGCCCTGAGCTGCATCCTATGCAACTAAACCATAAATTTCAAATCATAAATGGCTCTTGCCTCTCATGCAGGTTATCATGGGGATCCTCATACCTCCTACCATCCTGTTCCTGGAGTTCCGTACCTCTGATGACTATTCCTACCAAACGTCAAAGGAAAATGAAGTCGGGAAAGAAAAAGAAGAAGAAAATGTGGTCAGTGGCAGCCCATCTCTATAAGCCTCTCAACACCACAAACATGTCTCACCTTTATTCCCTGTTTAATAGTCATCATGGTTTCCCCAATTGCCAAGAATGCTGAGAATTGTAACTCAGTCAGGGATGCTGAGGATTTTGTATTTGAGATTCTTGCTCTTCCTCAGAACTTCAGCAAGTTCCAAGGAAGGATATTGTCAATCTTTGTTTCTCTCTGTTTTCTTATTTTTCAACCTTAAATTCAGTGCTCCACGTTTCCCCAGCAATCTGCTGAGAAAATCTCATGAAAATCCATCAACATTCTAGTGTGAATTTCCTTTGATGAACAGATTTTTATGCAGTTTTGAACAATATACATTTTGCAAACATTTCCCCTAACTTTTGAAATATTTATTTCACTAATAACTGCATTTCGATGTGCACTTTCCTCTACTGTTCACATTCATTGCTTTTGAACCACTGTTGTTGTTTTGGCAAACAGGCTTTGCAGGTTTTTGAAGCATGAACAACCTATTTGACCACAGACAAGTCTACATACCTTAAGTCAGCCTTTCTCAACCTGTGGGTCCCCAGATGTTTTTTTTTTTTTAAAATATATTTTTATTGCCTTTTTCCAGATATATCAAACAACAAAAAAGAAAAAAAAAGAAAAAATACAGAAAAAGGAAAACAAGGACTTCCCCACGTCTCCCACCCCCTGCTTTCTTAACAATAAAATATCAGCAAATTAATATCTTGTTTCATGTGTTATTAATACTTTCAATTTACTTTTACTTTAATCTAAACACAATATTATTTTAAACTTTAGTCCTCTCATTGATCCTACCCTAATTTCCAATATAAAAAAATCTTGATGCTGGAGCTTGGTTTTCAATTTATGCAAATTATTGACAATCAAATAACTTATAATGTTTTTGTAAATAGTCCTTAAATTTTTTCCAGTTCTCCTCCGTTGTTTCTTCTCCCAAATCTCGGATTCTGCCAGTCATTTCGTCCAATTCCATATAGTCCATCAGTTGCATATGCCATTCTTCCAGAGTGGGCAAATCTTGTGTCTTCCAGTGCTTTGCAATAAGTATTCTTGCTGCTGTTGTTGCATACATAAAAAAGGTTCTATCGTTCTTTAACACATTCTGGCCGACAATACCCAAAAGGAAGGCCTCTGGTTTCTTGGGAAAGGTATACTTAAATACCTTTTTTAACTCATTGTAAATCATTTCCCAGAAAGCCTTTACCCTTGGGCATGTCCACCAGAGGTGAAAGAATGTCCCTTCCGCCTCCTTACATTTCCAACATCTGTTGTCAGACAAATGATATATTTTAGCAAGTTTAACTGGGGTCATGTACCACCTGTATATCATTTTCAAAATATTTTCTTTCAATGCACTACATGCCGTGAATTTCATACCGGTGGTCCATAACCTTTCCCAGTCATCAAACATGATGTTGTGCCCAATGTCTTGAGCCCATTTTATCATGGCGGATTTAACTGTCTCGTCCTGAGTGTTCCACTTAAGCAGCAAGTTGTACATTCTCGAAAGTACCTTTGTCTTTGGTTCTAGCAATTCCGTCTCTAATTTCGATTTTTCCACCTGGAATCCTATCTTTTTGTCCAATTTAAAGATCTCTTGAATTTGAGCGTAATGAAACCAGTTTTGCACCTTATGTTTAACTTTTTCATAGCTCTGTAACCTCCAATTGTCACCTGATTTTTCTAGCATTTCCCAATATTTCAACCAACCGGTCTCCATATTGGGCTTTTTTCGGGCCTTGGCCTCCACTGGTGATAGCCACCTCGGGGTCTTACTTTCCAATAAGTCTTTGTATTTTATCCAGACCATAAATATTGCTTTTCTGACAATATGGTTTTTAAATGTTTTATGAATCTTAACCTTGTCGTACCACAAATATGCATGCCACCCGAAAGCATTGTCAAACCCTTCTAGATCCAGGACATCAGTATTTTCTAAAAGCAGCCAATCTTTCAACCAGCAGAAGGCTGCCGCTTCATAGTATAGCCTTAAGTCTGGCAGGGCAAACCCCCCTCTTTCTTTTGCATCAGTTAGTATTTTAAATTTTATTCGGGGCTTTTTGCCCTGCCAAACGAATTTCGAAATGTCCTTCTGCCACTTACCAAAACATTCAGGTCTGTCCACAATCTGAAGGGCTTGAAACAAAAACAGCATCTTTGGCAGTACATTCATTTTTACTGCTGCGATTCTGCCCAACAAGGAAAGTTTCAATCTTGACCAAGTTTCTAGATCCTTCTTAACTTCTAACCAACTTTTTTCATAATTATCCTTGAACAAATTCAAATTTCTGGAAGACAAATTAATTCCCAGGTATTTCACTTTTTTAACCACAGATAATTCTGTTTCCTTCCGAAATTCATCTGTTTCTAAAGGTGTCAAGTTTTTAACCAGTACCTTGGTTTTTTGCTTATTCAACTTGAATCCCGCCACCCGACCAAACTCTTGGATCAATTCTAAAACTCTTTTTGTGCTAGATTCTGGCTCCTGTAATGTTAAAACCAAGTCATCTGCGAAAGCTTTCAGTTTATATTGTTTCTCTCCGACCTGTATTCCTTTTATCAACCGGTCCTCCCTTATCATATTCAAAAACACCTCCAGGACTGAGATAAATAAAAGAGGGGATAGGGGACACCCCTGTCGTGTTCCTTTTTGGATTTTAAACTCCTCTGTCACCACATTGTTCACTATCAATTTAGCTTTTTGTTCTGAATAAATTGCATCTATACCATTCTCAAACCCCTGTCCCACTCCCAACCCTTCCAAATTTTTCTTCATAAACTTCCAGGAAATATTATCAAAGGCTTTCTCCGCATCAATGAAAATTAACACTGCTTTTGTATTGATATTTGTTTGCAGGAGTTCCAAAATATCAACAATGTTCCTAGTGTTATCAAACAAATGTCTGCCTGGGAGAAAGCCTGCCTGATCTTTATGAATTACTTCATTTAGCACTCTTTTAAACCTACTTGCCAAAATGTCTGCAAAAATTTTATAATCCACATTTAGAAGAGAGATGGGACGGTAGTTCTTTAGTTGAGTCTTTTCAGCTTCCAATTTGGGAATCAATGTGATGAAGGCTTCTTTCCACGTTTCCGGTGTCTTCTTCCCCTCCATAATCTGGTTACAGACCTCCATTAATGGCTGTATCAAATAGTCTTTTAAAGTCTTATAATACTTGGAGGAAAGTCCATCTGGGCCTGGAGATTTACCCAGTTGCATATTCTGGATGGCACTCTCAATTTCCTGTTGTGTTATTTGATGGTTTAGAATTGTCCTCTTCTCTTGAGATAGTTTTGGTAGTCCCTTAGCTTTTAGAAATTGTTCTATCTCAGTCATTTCCTGAGGCCCTTGCGTGTAAAGTCTTTTGAAATATTTCTGGAAACACTTTCTTATTTCTTCCGGTTTCTGTATATTTTTACCCTCCACCTCCAGATTGGTTACAAAGTTCAATTTTTGTCTCCTTTTCAACTGCCACGCTAGCAGTTTCCCACATTTATTAGCCGATTCAAAAGATCTTTGTTTCATTTGTTTGATTTTCCATTCCACTTCTTGATTTATTAATTTCGCATATTGTGCTTGGTGAAACTTGATTTCTCTGAGAATCTCCTTAGATTTTGGTTTTGATCTCAATTTTTCCTCACCATCTCTTATCTTCTCTAATATCTTGTCCTTTTTTCCATTCCAGAGTTTTTTCTTAATCGTGTTCTGTTGTATCAGAAACCCTCTCATTACAGCTTTACTTGCGTCCCAGATTATTCTCTTTTCCACCGAGGTGTTCAAATTTATTTCAAAATAGTCCTTTAAAGCTTTTTGGGCCTTTTTAACAATCTCTTGGTCTCTTAACAGAGTGTCATTCATTCTCCATCTAAAGGAACCGGCTGGAGTAAGTCTCAGTTCCACTTTCAAGGCGTTATGGTCGGAGCAGGTTTTGGGGCAGATTTCCACTTTCGTGGTCTTAGGTGCCAGTCCTCTAGATGTCCAAATTTGGTCTATTCTTGACCATGACAAATGCACTTCGGAAAAGAATGTTCCTTCTTTACCTAGGGGGTTCTTTGTCCTCCAAATGTCAATCAAATCCATATTGTCAGTCAGTTCAAAAAAGGTTTTAGGTAGTCTGCCATCTTTGGTCAAATTTTGATTTTGCGACTTATCCATGTAAGTAGAGACCACCCCATTCATGTCTCCCATCACAAAGACGTTAGAATAGTCCAGGTAATCCAGCAGTGTCTCATGCAGCTTCTTGTAGAATTCTGATTTCCCTTCATTTGGAGCATAAATTCCCACTATTAGAAACTTTTCTCCTTGTGATTGTATTTCAATTGCCAAAATTCTTCCATGCTCATCTTTGAATAACAATTTCGGTGACAGGTTCTCCTTTGCGTAAATCACAACGCCTCTTTTCTTAACTTTATCTGATGAGATAAATTCTTGGCCTAATCTTTTGTTAATTAATACTTTTCTATGGAGCCTAGTCACGTGAGTTTCCTGCAAACAGATAATGTCCAATTTTTCTTTTTTCAATATATGAAAGATCTTCCTTCTTTTTTCCGGGGAATTCACGCCATTAATATTCCAACTTAGAAGTTGCAGAGACATCCCGGATCAGATTAGGAGTCCTCTTGGGGTGTGTCTCCTTCGTTCAAACCCGGTGGCAGATCAGGTGTTGGTTCAGGTAGAAGTACTGGTCCGGCTCCTGCTACTCCCTTCCGAAGGTCCTCTCCGTATTCGTTCAAAAATTTTAGTTGGTCTTCTGCAGATCTGATTTTTATTTTTTTCCCCTTGATAGTAAAAGATAATCCTTGAGGGAACTCCCACCTATAAGGGATTGTGTTGTTCCTCAGTAGTCCTGTTAAATCTTTATATGTAGATCTTAAGTCCAATAGTTGTTTCGGGATATCTCTGTAGATTTCTGCTTTTTTACCCTGGATCACCAATGGTTTTTTAAAATGTAGGCCGAGTATTTTGTCACTCTCTTGCCTAGATCTCAAAATGATCAGGCAATCTCTA